ATCCTTCCAGGATTTTCAAGGTCACCACAGGCCTGGTTTTAGGACTGGAAGATGCCAAAGGGGCCAGGATACCTGAAATAATAAAACAAAACAAACTTCATCTGTTGACAGAGACGTTGCTTCATCCTTGTCAAGAAAACAGTAACTCATGTTTGATAAAGGTTAAAGCTCTGACTAAACTGGTGTAAATTCACGGTGGATGATCTGCTTTGCTTTGGCACATGATAGCGTAGCAACATGGCTGCCAAGCTAATGTTCTGCAGCTAAATTGAAGGTAAAACCGAGACATTTACTACCAAACTTCAAAAACAATAGTTATAAAACTATGGACAGACCTAAAGTCAGTCCAGTAGTTCCATCTGGAAACCAGAGATCAGGTGTGATGATGGACTCTGACCTGAACCTTCAGAGCCACATAAAGACAGTAATAAAGTCGGCCTTCTGCCACCTGAAGAACATTTCCTTTTTCTGACTTATGTCTGAGGAAGATCTAGAGAAACTCATCCATGCATTTATGTTTAGTCACATTAATTATTGGAATCGTGTCGCCACGTTGAATTGCCCCTTTGCTGAATATTTGGGTCCTGAGTGTCTCTGGACCGGTCCACGGCCTCATTGCCTGCGTCTCTGTGGTATTTTTACACTTTGGTTGTTGTTACCTGGAGTGGAACTTGGACTCTTCTGGTTCTCCTTGTTTGATCCAGTTAGAGTAGAAGTAAAACTTTTTCCAGTACTGGATCCTGGACTCGGAGAGGACAAACCAGTGAGTGTTGACTTAGAACCAGGCAGAACTTGTCTGGATCTCGATGAATCTGACTGACTCTTATGATTAAAACTGAGCTCGGCAGCAGAACCTGACGTCTTGATGGTTCCGCTGGAGATGGGAGAAAGGGAACCACATCCAAGAAGGTACATATTGAAAGCAGAGGCCTGCAGGGCAGCTGGAGAGTCTGACTGGGTCATGCCTGGTTTAGAATCAGAACCAGAGTTGCTTTTGAATTTGGGATCAAAACTTGCTTTGGAGTTTTGAAGACGTTTAGACTCGTGATTGTTCTTTGGGACCGTTTTGGAATCAGTAACTTCCTCTGAACGTTGGAGGCTTTTCTCCATCCTGGTTTCTGCTGAGGTTTTTGGGTCATGTGGATTTCGGATAACCTTTGAACTCTGGAGCTTCTTAGAATCCAAACTGTCCCGAGAGTCCAAACTGCTTTTCGAGGCGCTGCTGCTCTGGAATCCAGAGCATCTCTGGACCCGTCTCTGGACCCGTCTCTGGACCCGCCTGGAGCCGAGTTGTGAATCCAGACTGTCTTTGGATCGTTTCGTAGATTTGGGGGTTGAACTGGATTTGGTTGCAGGCGCGGCCTTTAAGTCTTTACTGTGAAGATTCCCCTCAGAGCGTGACTCCTTAATGGTTCTGGTTCTGGTGGGTTTTCTTTGTGTGGATGGTTTCGGACTCAGAGAGGTCACTCGGGAGGGTTTGGTCCTGAGAAGTGGTGATGCTGTTTTCTCTTTCTGTGCAGTTCCTGAAGTTGTGAAACACCATGAGCTCCAGAGGTCGTCTTCAGGTTTTCGGTCTGTTGTCGAGTTTATTGGATCTGGTCTTCTTATTCTGGCCACCATTGTTGGAGTTCGATTGGTCAGTTTTGGGCTTATGCTGCTCTTATCTCCGTTTCGGTTATGGACCTTTGGGTTTTTAGGCAGCTGCAGAGTTCTTGGTGGCGTCTCAAGGTGAATGTCCTTTACGTCTTTGCTGTATGATTGCGTCTTTTGGGTTGGTGTGATGATGTTTGCAGGTTTAGTTGTCGGCTCAGGCGCCAATGCAGACACTGGCTGTACAGATTCTGCTTCAGGTGTTTCAGTTCGGACTCTTTCTGCAGACCTCTGGCTGCTCCTCAGCTCCACACCGGTTGGTTTGGGACTCAGTGCTAAGTTTCCATGACTTTGTGTCTTGGGTGAAGATGAATGCTTAATGTTTGGAGATTTCGGCTTTTGGCCGACTTTGTTAATCACAGCCATCTGAGCTGTTGCTGTTGGGATTTTGCTCCTAAGTTTTTCACTTGGTACTGAAATGGTGTTAAAATCTGCAGCTGCTGCTCCTGCTTTATTTTTATCTTCCTTTTTGCCCCCAGACTGCATCTTTGAGGGCTCTTTGGTGGGACGAGGGATAGCCGTAGAGCCCAGATTGAAGTTGAGGTTGAAGTTTGGCTCTGTACTCCAGTTGTCGGTGGGATCCGTGTTCACAGCTGTGCTTGAAGGCTCCACATCTTCTGGAACGTCACGTTCCAACTGGAGAACATCCGTTCTTCCTTTAGTGGCATTGGGAGGCGTTGACATTGTGATGATTCCTGCTTGTTCAGCTGAAAATCAGGCAGAATCCCAACGAGGATCTGCATCAGACGGAGACAGAAACAGTGAAAAATCACAAACTGCAAACAGATAATCTTCACCTAATGATTCAATTTAGTAATATTTTTGCAGTTGGGAACTATTGTATTAAGTTTCATTCACACCAGCCCTGTTTAGTCCACTTTAGTCAAACTTCAGTTTATTTGTCTAGAAAATCCAGTTCTTTCATGGAGGTGTGAATGTGGAGTCAAACTCTCATTTGGCCCAAAAACACAACTCTGATCCGTCTATAAACTTTGGTCTCGGTTTGATTGAAGTGAATTCTGGTGCGGTTCCAATGCGTATGTGAACGGCAATCACTCCAAAAGCATGAACTGGACTAAAGCCCAAGTTAAACAAACATGTGAGTCCAGTGCTAGTGGGAGAAATGGCTTGTGGTCTTTTACTAAAGACAAGAGAAATCCTACAACCACTGAAACTTCATTTTGGTTTAAATTTAAAGTTGCGCTCACTAATCATGTCTCCATAAACATTTTTCTATGCGCAAACTGAAGAAACAGTTAATAGAAACAACAAATTAGAGATGGAAACATATTTGCCAAATATCTTCTAATGTACCAAACGTTCCTATTCACTGGTGGGCCTGTGCCTTACCAGAGCCACAAAACTGGTTATTACAACTATACGTAACGTCAACATCTGATTAAATTAGCCTGGTTCACTTTCAATTCACATGACAATTGATAATATCTACAGCTAGCATCTTCTTCAGAGGTTTTCATGCCATTTCCTTCAGTAGTTCTTTGTGCAGCGCCCCCAAAGGCGAGGAGGGAAACAGGTTTTTCAAAGAGTTTGAATCATTGAACTGAACGCAGAGTGAAAAAGAACCACAACAGCTGAAAATGTGACAAGTGTTGCAACTTTGGTCCCAAATCGAACTGAGTTTCTGTCAGGTTTGAAATCAAAGCAAGACTCAAGAAATGTGACTCCATGATGGTCCCTCAACAATCAAATCTACAAGAAGCAAAATGTCTGCTCAGAATCATATTGGATGTGTTCGTACCTGTTCAGGCTCCATAGGCATCAGGAAGCCAACGCTCAGCCGCTCCGGTTCGTTCCTCCTCTCTGCTCCAGAGGAAGCAGCGCTGAATAAACTAATACCAGTGAAGCAGAAAGCTGCTTTCGCTCCTCCTCCTTTTTCTCATATTCTGCCTTTCTTTTCTCCATTATTCATCTTCTTAAACCTCTTAATATTAAGCTTTGTGATGCTGATGATTCCTGACCTCTTGAGCGTCTTTTCTTCGTTTTTTTTTCTCCTTAAAAACTGATTAGAAATGATGTGAAACCTTCAACATCCAGTTGATGGAGTTCAGCTCTAAACCCTTGAGTATCAGCATGGGTTTGTTTCCGTGACATTTTACAGGTGCAGCTCAGGGGGCCCAGTGACTCTTTGGGCCCCCGGCGTTGGGCCCCAACAGGCCGAGCTGTCCACAAGATGCTGCGTGTTTCTGTTTTCTTTAAAGGCATTTTCAAAAAGAAATTATTTTATTTCTATTTTGAGGTTTTAAAGAAAATCAAAGTTAAACTGGATAAATTTTCTTCAACAAAATGTTGAAATTTGTGGAAACTTGTTTTAAAATAAATAAATACTGTTTCCACCTTAGTGACAAAAAATATCTGAAAAAAATGTAATTATTTTTTGGACATTTTATGAATCACAAAAAAAAAACTTAAAATTTTGTCATTTCTATTAGAGGCAGGAATTTATTGTCTCATTACTGTGAAAACAAAATCACAGACAGATATTTGTTAATTTGTTTGAATAAAGTGGAAAAATAAGTTTCCTGATTTAACTTCTGGTTAAATCAGGAAACTTATTAACTTTAGTCACAAAATGACTGAAGTTAGTGGAGTATCTACCGCCCCCATGTGGACAGGCTGAGCAGTACAACAAGCCAAAAAGAGAAAATATCAGAGCTTCAATCACATAAATGCTTTGAAGTCTTTGGTCTCTGAGACAAAAATGTAAGATAATTTCAAGGTTTGTAGAGGAAAAGTAAATCAGAACCTTGTTGGTACATAATGTGTAAAGCAGCTCTGGTTGGTTGAGCCTTTATGTTTTAGAAATCAGGCTGCGGTCACACCGACTGCGTTTTCTGCTAAATTTATCCATGTTTAAAAAAAAATACTACAAAAATACTAGCATTAGCTTGTTGGCATTAGCAGCATTTTAAATTGTCTCAGAAAAAAATCTACTTTTGGAAATTTCTGAAATTTCGCAGCTCTTTCTAGAAAGTTTGAAGTTTTTTTGTAGGAAACTTGACATTTGAAATGTCAAAAAGTTGTTTTTATAAAAATTAATGTCATTAAAATAAAAATCTTAATTTTTTAGCAAGTTTTAAACTTCTTAAACTTTGGATTCAGGTATTTTTGATGACAAAATTTTCAGTCAATGTTATTAATATTCTTATTTGTTATATATTTTAGGACTTTTCAATCTTTTGTCTACCTCAATTTCCCCTCTGTGGACAATAAACATTATTTCTATTCTAGTTGGCATTTTAAAACTCTATTTTCTTTAATTTTCCCTCAAAATGAAAGAAAATAAAAAGGTTAAGATGAGGAAACGGAATAAAAACTCTAGAGGAGGAAACTCACAACACAAAGCAGGTAACTTTAATTAAAACATTTCTCACTGAAGACAATCCATACAAATTTGTCAGTTCTTACGAGAGCTCTGATTTCACAGCGTATAAATTACTTAGTGTTTACAACGGGAACCTGCTGAAGCAAAGAAAGAAAGTCTGAGAGGAACTGAACCCACTGGAAACAGAAGCACTGAGGCTGGAAAACAGACAAATACCAAAGGAAACTATTTATTTCCGCTGAAGTCGCTTCTTTGTTTCCATCCACAAGCTCAGTTCTCTCAGGTTTCAACCAAACAAGCTCTGGAAATAAAAACGACAAGCTTTTATGTGCAATTACACATTTACTGAACATCTAAACCAGCCCGATCAGAACCATCCGGGCTGCTGGCGGGTCGGACGGCGCCGATAAATCAGTCTCTGCCGCTTCGTTACAAAAATAAACGTCTCCTCTGGTATCAAAATAGACGACAATCTTTTTCTTTCTCGTCGAAAACGTCCGGAGTGAGCAAACAGCGGAGTGAACCCGTTTCATATTTACAGGACGAGGAACGGGTCGAGGCAGAACCGGGAACCTTTCGCTCGCAGTCCGTGTTTTCGGGGGGGGAGAGATAACGGTGGGGGTCCAGACCAGCAGATAATGATAAAGGTAGAAAAAGGCTGCAGGATGACGGCGGAGCGAGATGAGGAAGAAGAGCAAGGCAACGCTGAAGGTGCTTTCGGACCACACGGTTCTGGAGAGGTACCGCTAAATTACCGAGGAAGATCGCGCGAGAGCATCCCGCTGAAAGACCCAAAAGGGATTAAAGTGTTGAACTTATTAAATGAAAAGTTCTCACTGCTGTTTTGTTTGATCCTCCAAGCTGCAACCAGTTCGATGACAAAAACATGAAAACATTCAAAAACTTTTATTTATTGCAAAACTGATTTAATTCATCCGAGCACTGGAACCTTTAAATCAAAAAGCTACATTTAACTGGTTGCTGTCGGGTTTCTTTGTTCCTAAAAACCAACAGTATTATAGATTATTCTCAATATTTTATGAACAAATTTTATTCCCCAACAATCTGAGCGTCTTTTCCTTTTTACCAATTCATTCTGATCAAATGTGGAGTTATATTTCAGACAGATTTTATCCACAAGAAGCCTCTAACATCGGAAACCCATCATAAATATCAAGTAATTGTATTTGGCATTTCGGCTCTTTAAGCTCGTTACCTATTGGTGCTGCTCGACTGAAACTGTGTTTAAAGAGATAAACTCTTCTGGAAACTGGCAGGTTTTAGATTTAACGTTTTGCTAATTAACGTCAATGAAGCATCAGAGGATCTGATGGAGGAACCAGAGTTCTGCATCACAGATCAACAAATATTTGATTATTTGAATATTCAAATAGTAAAGAACCAGTTTGCTCCAGAAACTACAGGAAATCCACGGCGGTCCAACAGGACGTCACAAAGAATTTCCAACAAGATTATAGATCAACAAAAACTGAGATGGGACCTAAACCCGGCGGGATTTTGACTGCAAAGGAAACCTGCTGTGGTCCAAAAGCACCAAGAGTTCCTGTGATGTTTAAAGGAGATGAAGAGTTGAGGAACTCGACGCTTGTTCTGGTTCCGATTCAGAGATCCAGGCAGCATTTTCTTCTTCGTTTTCATCTGTGCTTCACGTTTTAAATAAACTTCATGGATTTCTGCATCGCTCCAGAAACGATGAAGAACTGAAACTGAAACGCAGGAAAGTTCAGAGGTCAAAGAAACAAACCGACCCGAACGAGGCAGGCGGGTCTTCAATACTGCAGGAGTAATACTGCCGGGTCAATCAGAGTCCGATTGAGATCGAAATTTATCAGTCAGACGATGCAAAACGTCAGAAAGAGGCAGTCCAAACCTGGAGAACCAGAACCAGAGCAAGGAAAGAGAACCGGAGAACAACTTCCTGGACTCTGGAGAAACCAGATGGGTTCCGTCAGGAATGACTCGGTTCTGCTGACAGAACCAGCTGGATCTTCTGTGGACGGAACCAGGTGGAGTCGGGATGAAGAACCAAGAACGATCGAAGTTGAAAACTGAAATGTCTGGTTTTTGAGCGGGTCCGCTCAAACTATCCAAACGCAGTCGAGCATCGTGGTGCTGGTTCTGGACCAGACGGATCTAATCCAGAACCAAGCTGTGAGCACGTTTACGTCTGGTGGTTCTAGTCTCTCTGGACCTTCTGGTTCAAGGAGTTCTTGTTTATTTTGGCCTGGTTCTGGCTCAGTTCTGCTGGGCTGTTCTCAGGACTTGGCACCCATATGAGGTCGATCCATTGACCCCTCCTCGTCCGACAGGCCGGTTTCCACGGCGATGACTAGTGACGCCACAGAGGCGCTGCACGCCATTGGCTGCAGCTCACCTGGAAGACAAAGAAGACGAGGAGATGAAGATGAAGTCAGCGCCAGAACCAGCAGTGGCACCGCTAGCCAAAAAGCTAGCTGTGCTATCCATCAACATAAGTCCTGCTGACGCTAAACAAACATTGTGCAGCAGAAGCTAATGCTAAAGCGCTCCAACAACATTAGCTTTTCAACTGAAGCTAGTGCTAAAACGTTACATTAGCTTTTCAACTGAAGCTAGTGCTAAAGTGTTACATTAGCTTTTCAACTGAAGCTAGTGCTGAAGTGCTACAACAAAATTAGCTTTTCAACTGAAGCTAGTGCTAAAGTGTTACATTAGCTTTTCAACTGAAGCTAGTGCTAAAGTGTTACATTAGCTTTTCAACTGAAGCTAGTGCTAAAGCATTACAACATTAGCTTTTCAACTGAAGCTAGTGCTAAAACGTTACATTAGCTTTTCAACTGAAGCTAGTGCTAAAGTGTTACATTAGCTTTTCAACTGAAGCTAGTGCTGAAGTGCTACAACAAAATTAGCTTTTCAACTGAAGCTAGTGCTAAAGCGCTCCATCAACATTGGCTTTTCAACTGAAGCTAATGCTAAAGTGTTACATTAGCTTTTCAACTGAAGCTAGTGCTAAAGCATTACAACATTAGCTTTTCAACTGAAGCTAGTGCTAAAACGTTACATTAGCTTTTCAACTGAAGCTAGTGCTAAAGTGTTACATTAGCTTTTCAACTGAAGCTAGTGCTGAAGTGCTACAACAAAATTAGCTTTTCAACTGAAGCTAGTGCTAAAGCGCTCCATCAACATTAGCTTTTCAACTGAAGCTAGTGCTAAAGCGCTCCATCAACATTAGCTTTTCAACTGAAGCTAGTGCTAAAGTGTTACATTAGCTTTTCAACTGAAGCTAGTGCTAAAGCATTACAACATTAGCTTTTCAACTGAAGCTAATGCTAAAGTGCTATATTAACAGAAGTAGCTTCTGTTGCTACCTGTTGTAACCTGAGTAAAAAACTGTTTCCATCTAGAAGCGAATTCATCTAAAATCTGATCAACATTTATTTATTTTTGTAATATCCCAGTTCTTTGTGTTCCTACTGTATTGTTTTATATTTACTGAGACATGCTAATCTTTTTATTTCATTTATTTGACTTTACTTTGACAGTTGCTACATTTAAAATTTCTCCACATTTTCTCTCTTGTACAATGACAACAAAATGGGTTCTGATTCTGTAATGCCTCAGAACGGCCACCGGGTGTCAGTGTAACTCTGACTGACGCCCAGCAGAGTGAGTCCAACCTGTGTGGGTGTCGGTGGTGGCCGTCACGGGGCTGTCTCTGAGCGGGTCGGGGTCCTGGTAGTCCTGCGGGAGCCCGACCCGCCTGACTCCGGGGTCCAGAACCACCGAGGACCCGCCCTCGCTGAGCGTCCCGTCGCTGGACGCCCCGGCCTCCAGCGCCAGTGCGCCGACTCCGCCCATCCCCACGCCGCCGACGATGCCCAGCGCCAGGTCGTAGTCCAGCGGGAGGTCGTCCAGGCAGTCGGCGTTCAGCTGGGAGGAAAACGGAAACAGTCAAGCATTGAAATGAGAGCAGATCCAGAACCGGAGCGGAGCGGAGCCGGACTCACAGCGATGCCCAGGGCCTTCAGGATGTTCATCTTACACATCGGACACGTACGATGGTCCAGCAGCCACGGATCCACGCAGCTCTTATGGAACAGATGCCTGAAAAAACAGGAAATTCAAGAACTTTCAAGGTCCGGGTTCAAACATATCAGAAAACAAATGAACTAAATTCACTATTACTGAAGATATTAATTACTGTATTAATCTCTGATGATTCTGTTCTACAGCAAGAGAAGAAAAAAAATTGTTTTGAAAAATTTCTCTCACATTCTGACTAAGACGATGCATTAGAGGAAAAACAGATTTAAAAATTCCAGCCAAAGAAAAAAATCTCAAGGATTTCCTGGAAAAATAATATTTCTGAGATTGAAAAATGGGAAAATCTGAGTAAAAACCCTGAACTTTTGAGAATCTCACAGAAAACATTTTCAGGAACTATTTTCAATTTTCTGATTTTCAAAAAGTCAAAAATGTTCAACTTTGGAAACTCAGAAACTTTCCAAAAGTCTAAAGTTGTTATAGTCCTGGTAATCGTATTGTCATGAAGGAGGTTTGCGTTTCTACCTGCAGGGCAGGATGCGGACCACGTCGTTGGGCCTGTAGCCTTCGATGCAGACGGCGCAGTTGTCGAAGTCGGCCTCCGTCTCCTGGTCGCCCTTCCTGATGGTGCGAACCTGAAGTTTGCTGATGGCCTTCTTCGCCGCGTCGCCGAGTCGACGCTGCAGACAGGAGGAGAGAGAAGGACGTTAAGGATCAACCGTTCCCATCGTTACAGGATGAAACTGTTAAACACTTCGTCGGCCATGTTGTGGGAACTCTGAGGTTCTGTTGACCCGTTTTCTGGTTCTGTCCAAACCAGGGTTTTTCAGTTTAGTTTTATTTCATTGGGACTTTTTGTTTGTTTGATTCAGTTTTAGTTAGTTCTGTTTGATATTAGATATTTAGCTTCAGTTCAGTTTTTATCAGTTAGTTTTAGTTTTTTTGCTCTTTTTGAAGTATTTTATTGCGATCATGTTGACATTGATTGGATAATAAAATGTCTGACTGGTGCATTAATGGTGTCACCATTTAGTGAGGAAGAGCATGCAGTGCTGTAATTTGCTGATAGTTGACGTAAATTGCTGGCGTGGGGAAAAAATAAAAAATATTTATTTCACATTAGTTTGAAAAGACTCAAACAGAAAAACTACTGTCATTATATCTCTAATTTCAGAATACTTCATAAAATGGTTCGTTTGTTATAGTTTTATTGACAGTATTTACGTATTTGAGACGTTTTCTGAGGTTCGTTTTGGTCGTGTTGTTATGTCACCTGGTTCCTGTCGCGCGCGTTGGCGTATCTGAACCTCTGGATGTAGTAGAAGACGAGCCAGGCGAGGGAGATGATCATCAGCACGATGAAGGAGATGGAGACGAACACCACCGACGTCCTGCTCACGTACTTCTGCAGGTTCCTGGTGCCGATGGTGATCGTCATGGTAACCGTGATGTTGCGCTCCAGCAGCGACGCGACCTCCCGACCCTTCGGCTCCGGGATCATGATGACGACGACCTCGCCTGTACCTGGGAGAAGGAAACGCTCGGTCACTTCCTGTTGGTTTTATTCTGAAAGGTCGCGGAAAAAAAAACTTTTTCAGAATTTAAATTTGAGAAAAGTGGAGGATAATATTAAAGTCTTTACTAATATCTTAAAAATATATCTATTTTTTTTCAACTTGAGACTAAAGTGACGTTTGAATCGTTACTTTAAGCAATAAAATGTTTTCTTACTTACAAAAGGAACTAAATTGTTATTTACTTCCATATTTATTTTAATAGCTTGAAACATAAACAGTAAAGGCTTTGCATATCTTCCTAACCTTCAACACTTCATGTCTAGTTTCATAAAAATAAAAAAGAAAACTACAAACAAGGCAGCAAAATAATAATAAATTGTGATGCAAACATAATAACTCCATATTAATTACAGATAAAACATGTTTGGCTGCAAATATGAAAAATAAAAATATTCTTTCAAAGAGACCAAACTTTTCCTTGTAATCCCAAAAGTTCAAGAACAGCAGCTGATTTTATTTTTAGTTAACAGATTAAACTCAAAACAAGTTTATTCAGATTCTCAAGGAGCAAATGAGCGAAGAGGAGAATATTCAAAGTTTTTGTTTTTATCCAACTTCTGGGTAATAACTACCAGTTCTGGGTAATAACTACCAGTTCTGGGTAATAACTACCAGTTCTGGGTAATAACTACCAGTTCTGGGTAATAACTACCAGTTCTTTGTAGGAGGATTAAATGATTGATTATGAAAGCAGAACAGAGTTCAGTAAAGATGAACCCCAAACCGAATGGAGGAATCAGACTTTTAAGCCTTTAATGCAACTTAAAAACTTCACAGGGAACTAAATCCAGAGCCTTTCAGCAGCTGTAATCTCACTGGTATGTTTATGAGCATAACCTAATCTGACCGTTGCACAGCTTCACATAAATGTTCTTATATCATCAGCTTGTGGTTGTTCAATGTTAACTTTTACTAGCCGACATGCAGCAGCACCAGTCCGACCACATCTGGACTTCTGTCTGCAGAAACCGATCAGAAAACGTGTTTCTTCACTGCAGCAAAACTTCAAGATATTCACATTTAAAGTGAAAATATTCCTAAAAAAATCAGCAACAAAAGCCTAAACTTTAATATTTGTTTTTAATTTAATTTTAAAATCTTAATCCCAGTTTCTGTTGAACAGATTTGAAAAGCAGTCCTGCTGAGTTGTTTATGTTGCTCATATTAAATCGACTCATTTCCATGAACTTTCAGTTTGTTTTACAGTGTAAACGTTTTATCTCAGGTTTATAGTGTCGCTACTGGGAAACGTTTCTCCTCTTCACCTCTGAATCAATCTGACTGATCACACTCATCACCTCGATTATTGATCCAACAGCAGCTTGAGGCTGACGCATCCCCACATCGCCATGGCGACCACCGCTCTAAAAATACTCTTTATGAGCAACATGGTGGGCGACGCGCTGAGTGGCCTGGTTTCACTCCAGGACCGATCGGCTGCAGGATTCAGCCTCAACATGAGATTATATAAAACCTCTCTGGGGACGACTCACAGGATTTCTGTAATCCTGCAGCAGGTATTACAGCGAGTCGCCTCAGACCGCCGCGACTCTGCTCCACATACGGAAAACCAGCTTCACTGAGAAATATAGGAACGGAAAACTAGTTTAATCCAAAAATACATGTATGGAACACCATTTAACACAAAAATATAGGTTCAGAAAACCAGCTTCACTGAGAAATATAGGAACGGAAACTAGTTTAATCCAAAAATACATGTATGGAACACCATTTGACACAAAAATATAGGTTTAGAAAACCAGCTTCACTGAGAAATATAGGTACTGAAAACTAGTTTAATCCAAAAATACATGTATGGAACACCATTTGACACAAAAATATAGCTTCAGAAAACCAGCTTCACTGAGAAATATAGGTTCAGAAAACCAGCTTCACTGAGAAATATAGGAACGGAAAACTAGTTTAATCCAAAAATACATGTATGGAACACCATTTGACACAAAATATAGGTTCAGAAAACCAGCTTCACTGAGAAATATAGGTTCAGAAAACCAGCTTCACTGAGAAATATAGGAACGGAAAACTAGTTTAATCCAAAAATACATGTATGGAACACCATTTGACACAAAAATATAGGTTCAGAAAACCAGCTTCACTGAGAAATATAGGTTCAGAAAACCAGCTTCACTGAAAAATATAGGAATGGAAAACTAGTTTAATCCAAAAATACATGTATGGAACACCATTTAACACAAAAATATATATACGGAAAACCAGCTTCACTGAGAAATATAGGTTCAGAAAACCAGCTTCACTGAAAAATATAGGAATGGAAAACTAGTTTAATCCAAAAATACATGTATGGAACACCATTTAACACAAAAATATATATACGGAAAACCAGCTTCACTGAGAAATAAAGGTTCAGAAAACTAGTTTAGTATATAAATATATGTATGGAACAGTAATTTAGTATATAATATATGTATGGAACAGTAATTTAGTATATAAATATATGTATGGAACAGTAATTTAGTATATAAATATATGTATGGAACAGTAATTTAGTATATAAATATATGTATGGAACAGTAATTTAGTATATAAATATATGTATGGAACACCGGTTTGACATAAAAAATAACAGGTAAATAATATCCGCTACACATGTTATTATTATTACTACTCTGCTTTTTGTGAGCGACGGGGGACTTCCTTGTTGAGTTGCTCCTTATTCTGTCTCCTGTTGATCCAGTTTTAATTTAGAAACTTCCAGGCTTGCAGAAAGATGGAACAATGGGTTGAACTCTGACCTGATCTCCAGAGCAGTAATGATGTGTCCAGACCAAAGTCTGCAAATGACCAGAAACAACAGGCTTGAATGGATCCAATGTTTTCCACAGGAATTAACTGATTTATGAAGAAACTGGAACTATTAGTAACTAAGACTAACCTGAGCTGATTTAACCATTTTAGATGCTGTAATTACAGCCAAACTCCTTTCATTTCACAGCAAATCACTGAGGTCGGTGTTGAGTCTTCATGCATTCCAGGAGCATTTTAAGGCCGATTTAATTCATTTTACAAGCTGTCATTTCACAAGGTGACCCTCCAGGAGTTGGACTCTACAAAGTGATCCTTTAATAGAAAAGATGATAAATAACAAGACAGGAAGTTAAAGTAAAAGAGGAAGCTTTAAAATACAGTTGCAGACAAATCATTTGGCACAAAGGTCATGGTGGCAATGATTCTGAGACCAACTCTCCTGCAGCTTCTCGCTCTGAATCAGACTTTAAAACTCTGCAGCCTTTCAGTCCCAAACGTCTGAGGAGAAAATTCAATCTCGGCCGATTCTGATTTAAACCTGGGGTTTACCTTGTGACTGGGGCCTGACTCCGTGCATCCTGACGCAACACCAAAGAGAGGCGGAAAATATCCCAGAGGGACAAACAGACAAACAGTCTGCAGCTGCTAACGCAGAAGTTTAGCATTAGACACGTAAGAACAGGTCTATGTGAGCCGGTCCAGAAAAATGCACAACAAGCCACCGAGTCCTAACAAGTGTGAAGCACACAGGCAACACGAGGACGAGACTAGAAGGAAAAACTTTAATTAGAAACAGAGAAATGAAGGAATGCTCTCACTGGGGTTTGACATTTTTAGAAATAATTCAAACCAAATGAGTTGGAAGACGTTTAAAAACAAGGTAGACTCAGAAAGTTAAGGGTGGATGAATACTTTTTACTTGTTGAAGTATTGCTGGTCTTTCTCGAGTAAAATCTTCAGGTACTCTGCCCACCTGTGATTGTTATGAGTTGACACTTTATCTCAATATTTAACTGAATATTTAAAGAACACATAGTTCCCACAAGTCTGAACCAGAAGTGATCCACGCCACTGAACGGCCATCTTGGTAGGCAATCGCGTGCAGGACAGAAACTATAATGCAAACTGTATTCAGTAAATTGTGTGAACAATTTCAGATTCTTTCACCTGAAAGTTAATTGTCAGACCTCTTAACACTTCTTTCTAGCAGCCATTTTTAAGGCAGTATTTTAGACTTCAGCAATACTTGTATCACCTGCCATTTTTAGTCAGGTTTAAATGGACCTAAATTTAGAAAAGGGTAACAAAGAATAATCAGTTCAGTTTTTTATTGTTCCACATGAAAAGGCTCACAGGAGAAGTCAGAAAGTCAACATAAATGCCACAAGGAATGAAACCACTAAACACCAAATTCAATTAAGACAAATGCCACAAATATCCTATAAAAAATGACTGAAAAAACAAAATGGCTACAATTTAAAATCTGAAAACTATACGACAAACTCTGCCTAGAGACTGCACACAATAATTTTCATTGGTTGATTTGTTTTCTTACCCAAAATAGTCTTTAAACAAGCAGCAAAATGCCATTGTTTAAACATATTTTTCTTTTAATTTGACTTCAAACTGACTAAATATCGAACAGAGTCTGTATTTAGCTGTCGTATCCTGCTTGATGTGACAGTTTGGTGGGTTTTTCTGAGGTTTATGTTTATGTCTCCGATTCTCACCTGCAGGAAAGGTAAATACTGAGAAAGCTGAGATGCAGCTCCTGACTGTTTGCTCAGCAGAGACTGGAAGAGCACAAGTTGGACTAAATCCCTGGAGGCCAACGCTGAACTCGTATCGACAGAGCAAAATAACAAAAACATTGATTCCTGTTGACCTAATAATATTCCCCTGGGATCAATATCGCTCCGGTGTAACTGTGAGGTCCTTCCAGAAGTTACATAATCCCCAAACTAATTTAAACCCGAATGAGGCGCTCATGTTGTTGCCACAAAAATCCAGTCACAAGTTTTTCAGCTGAGTTTTTCACTCAACATTTTCAGAAGAAACAACTTTAAATATGTCTCTATTTTAGAAGAGCTGATTTGCATTAACGCCAACTTTTTAAATATCTTTTTCAAAAACAAGTTTTAATTCAGGAACAGAAGTTTC